ATCTCGCCGGGAGGACAGCCCGTGGCTGTGGGACCATATGACAAAGTACGCCCAGATGCTGGCCAAGTATTTTGCCGGCTTCCGCATCGACAACTGCCACTCCACCCCAATCCATGTCGCAGAGCACATCTTGGACGAGGCCAGAAGAGTTCGGCCAAATCTCTATGTTGTCGCCGAGCTCTTCACTGGGTCCGAAGAAATGGATTATGTCTTTGTGAAGCGGCTCGGTATCAGCTCACTTATCCGTGAAGCCATGCAAGCATGGAGCACCGGAGAGTTGAGCAGACTTGTTCACAGACACGGCGGCCGTCCTATCGGTAGTTTTGAGGTTGACGACATTTCCAAGTCAGATGTTAGTACGCCATCGGCCTCAAAGGGTAACGCAGATCTTACAAGGGAGATTATTCGGAGGATACGGCCGTCGCCTGTCCACGCCTTGTTCATGGACTGCACCCATGACAACGAGCCACCTGCCCAAAAGCGTGATGCGCGAGACACACTGCCCAACGCCGCTCTCGTCAACATGTGCTCCAGTGCCACCGGAAGTGTCATGGGATACGATGAAATATACCCCAGATTGGTTGATCTCGTCAATGAGAAGCGTTTGTATACATCTGAAGCGTCGAGGACCTCGTCGATCAAGGTCGGGAGGGGCAAGGGCGGCATTGCTAGCATCAAAAAGCTCTTGAACCAGATTCACACCATTATGGGCAAGGATGGTTACAACGAGACTCACATCCATCATGAGGGAGAATACATCACCGTGCACAGAGTGCATCCCGAGTCTAGAAAGGGCTACTTCCTCATTGCTCACACTGCGTTCCCTGGATACGGCAACGGAAGAGGAGAATTCAACCCCGTGGTTCTGACAGGAACCCGAGCTAACCACCTGGGCAGCTGGATGCTCGAGGTCGATGACAGAGACGAAACTGTCAAGACCGTGCTGGACGATACCAAGTTTCTTCGAGGTATCCCCAGCCAGGTAGTAGATGTGCCGGGAATCAAGATGGAATACCACGACAAAGACACAATCATCTCCGTTCGGGACAAGTTTCCGCCCGGCAGCATTGCTCTTTTCGATACCTGGATCCCCACTGCAGAGCACTCTACGGGCTTGGACAACTACGTCACCTCGAGCGCAAAGGCAGCTTGGGCCAATCTGAACCTCATTGACCTCAACTTTTTGCTCTACCGGTGTGAGGCAGAAGAGAGAGACGCCAGCGATGGCCAGGACGGGGTATATGATATTCCCGGCCATGGAAAGCTCGTCTATGCTGGACTGCAAGGATGGTGGAGTATCCTCGAAGGGGTGATACGCGACAACAACCTTGGACATCCAATATGTCAAAACCTGCGAGACGGCTCCTGGGCACTCGACTACATTGTGGGCCGCATTCAAAAGCAAAGCCATGCGCCAGGCAGTGAAGGTCTTGCTGGGCCAGCAGCGTGGCTTCGAGAGCGGTTTGAGGCCGTCAGGGCAATTCCCAGCTTCTTGCTGCCAAGGTACTTTGCACTTGCCATTCGCACCGCGTATCGAGCCAGTGTTGATCGCGCTTTTGAACTCATGAATGAACATGTTGCCAAGGGCCAGTGGTTCCTCGGAAGTCTTGCCATGGTCAGCGTGCAGCAGACTGGACTAGTGAAGTCAGCCTCTCTTTGGCCAGACAAGCAGGTGCCGTCTATTGCCGCTGGTCTGCCACATTTCGCAGTGCAGTGGGCTAGATGCTGGGGACGAGATGTCTTCATCTCCATCCGTGGACTCTATCTCGGCACCAGTCGTTTTGCAGAGGCGAAGGAGCACATTCTTGCATTTGCTAGCGTTCTCAAACACGGCATGATCCCCAATCTCTTGAGCAGCGGCGCTGCACCGCGGTACAACTCGCGAGATTCGGTGTGGTTTTTCCTCCAGACGATCCAGGATTACACTCGTTTTGCACCAGAAGGGCTCGATCTCCTCAAGGTTAAAGTCCGGCGTCGTTTCCTCCCGTATGACGATACTTGGTTCCCGGTGGATGACAAGCGGACATACTCTACTGAGAGCACAATCGAAGAAATCGTACAAGAGGCTCTTCAGAGGCATGCTTCGGGAATGAAGTATCGTGAGGCGAATGCCGGACCCCAGATCGACTCTCAGATGAAGGATGAGGGCTTCAATCAAGAGATCAAGGTCGATTGGAATAACGGAATCATCTTTGGCGGCAACCAGTTCAACTGCGGTACTTGGATGGACAAGATGGGAGAAAGTGACAAGGCCGGATCAAAGGGCGTCCCTGGAACTCCGCGCGATGGTGCCGCCATCGAGATCACGGGCTTGCTCTACAGCACGCTCAGATGGGTAGAACAGCTCCACAAGCAAGGAAAATTTGCTCAGTCCGGCGTCAAGACTGCGGAGGACAAGGCCGTCTCATGGACGGAGTGGGCTGATCTCATCAAGGCAAACTTTGAGAAGTGCTACTACATACCACTCTCCCCCGAGGAAGATGCAAAATACGACGTCAACTCCAGCGTTGTCGCTCGCCGGGGCATGTACAAGGATCTGTACAAGTCTGGAAAGGAGTACGAAGACTACCAGCTGCGACCAAACTTTGCGATCGCCATGACGGTAGCGACTGATCTGTTCGACCCCAAGCATGCCTGGCAAGCTCTATGTCTTGCAGATTCGACGATCCGCGGGCCCACTGGCATGGCGACTCTGGACCCTGCAGACAAGGATTACCGCCCGTACTACCGCAACAGCGAGGACAGCCACGACTTTGCCACGAGCAAAGGTCGAAACTACCACCAGGGGCCCGAGTGGCTGTGGCCAACGGGCTTCTTCCTCCGCGCGCTGCTCAAGTTTGACCTTCAGCGGAGAACGACGGCCGAGGGCAGGATCGAAGCATTCCAGCAGGTGACTAGAAGGCTGGCTGAGTGCAAGCGAGCCATTCGAGAGAGTGCGTGGGCGGGCCTGACGGAGCTTACGCAAAAGAATGGAGAGTTTTGCGGCGATTCTGTGAGTGTTATATCTGTCTTTTCTTCTTCTTCTAGATCAACATGCTAACCTATTTGTTTTCAGAGCCCGACACAGGCGTGGTCTGCTGGGTGTCTCATTGATCTGTACATGGACGCCATGGAGGAGCAGGAGAGCTTGAAAAAATGAGATATGCTTTACGTACGCGACATGACAAATTCACGAGTAAATGATATTAGCATGATGTAAAAGGGAAGGCATATTTTCAAGGGGGCAGGGCGCGCATTACACATGGTTAAGTTTGCAAGTTGAAGAAGAAAAAAAAGAAGGTGTTTTATTTGTTTCTCTCGAGTTCCAAGGAATGTACCACTCCCCCTTTTTTTTGCTCTAAGAAACAAAGAAACAGGTAGAGCCACCGTGACGAATGATGTGACAGACATGTCTCTGTTTTTGCCTCGTTCCATACTCCCCCACACACTTCTTCTTCTCCTTCTCCTTATTCCACAGAAGAACTTTGCTCACGCAAAAATGATGATATGCCCAAAAAAAATCTCTAATTTCTCCTTCCCCTACCTCCCTCCCTTTCCTTGATTTAAGAAAACAGGTGACAACAAATATCCCGACACAAAAAAACAGAGCCAACGCCTTGATCCAAAAAAAGAGGGGACTAGCAATAAAAAAAATTGTACGATTGAAATGAAGATGTCGACAAGGAGCGCCTGTTGAATGAGGATGGGGTGGTAGTAGCGTGAATGAGAAAATGGTCGTTTCGGGGCGGCGGCATCTGTCAAGATGATGAAAGTCGAAGAAATAAAAAAGTGTCGTAGTGCTCGTCTTGAATTAGGCTGCTAGTATGTTTCTCATCGCTCTCTTTTTCTTCCCTCTTTCCTTCTCTTTTCTTCATATTTTCCTTGGGGAGAGTATTTATCCTTGTCGTTTCTCTATGACCGGGAAAAGGGCCACAGCTTGGTCGTCGTGTTGCGCTTCTCCGAGGTTGACGTAAAGTTGGGCAGTTCGGGGGTCGCGTTGGTCTTGTCCTGGTAGGTCATGGGGATGCCGGGAGCGCCTTCTGAGGGCGGGACGCCGGAGCCCCAGGAGTCGGTGTTACCGCCGACGGCTTGTCGACGAAGATCGCGCCTGCGGATGTAGCGGCGGCGCCAGATGCAGGCGCCGATCCAGATGCCAGCGATGCCGACGACGAGGATGACGAGCATGATGACCCATTGGTAGTGAGTGGAGATCCTGCATGAAGGAGTTAGTATTGGTATATAGACTTGAAGTTTATCTTCACTGATGTTCGGAATATCGCGTACCAATCGCCACTGGGTGGGTTTGTCCGCTGAGGGCTGTTGGAGCTTGAAGGACCGCCGGTGGAGCTGGAGGAGATGGCGCTGGTAGATGAGGGCGCCACTACGTTCTTAATGTTGCAGACGCTGTGATACCACTTGGTGATGGAAGCAAGGCCGTTGGGTTCAGCGGTACAGGCCTGGTCGCAAACGCCAGCGGTCGTGGTGGAAAAGGGCGCAAGGCGAGAATCGAAGCAGAAACATGACGTGTAGACGGCGGGACTGTTGGTGGGAATGGCGGGAGGAACACAGGCGCCGTTGGCATCGTAGAGATGGCCACAAGCAGCCGCGCAGGCGGGAAGCTGGGCGCGGTCGGCAAAGGGCACGATGGTGGTGATGGGCGCTTGTTGAGCTGCTACGGAATTGTTAGATTTGCGGACCGCTCGGAAGAGGCCGTTTGGGGAGGCTCACCCATTGTGACGTGATGCAAGAGGGATATTAAGGCGCAGATGCGGGAGGAGAAGATGCCAAAAGCATGTACGAAAAGTCCGTGACGGCGGCGAAGAAGAAGGAATCGCTGGGGAGAATCTTGACGGCCAGCGCCAAACCAGAAGCAATGGAAGCGAGAGAAGGTGTCGATATTTGTGTTCGTTTCAGAAACGGCGCTTGTTCAAACACCGTGGGTCAACAGATGCTGGTGCGAGGCTGCGAGAAGATGCGCGAGCGAGGAGAGGAAGAAGAAGGTTGGGAACACAGTCGTCGGGTCAGGCGATAGCAAAGCAAAGCAAAGCAAAGCGAGTCGTATTGCGGTCCTTTGGTTGTCCTTTTCTTCTTCTTCTTTTGACTTTTCCGTCTTCGTCTCTGGTCCGAGTCGCCTGGGAATTTACGAGGGCGGCTGACTTAAGCGAGCGGAGAGAGTTGGAAGGTTTGCGCAAGTAATTTGGTGGCACCGGCTGAGGCGGGAAGACGGCTCGGGGGCTTCGAGGGGGAAATATCGACAAAAAGTAGCGAGAGGAAGTCCGACGCTGGCGATGGACGGCGTGTTTGGTGTTTAGGGCGAGGAAGAGACAAAGTCGTGAGGATTTGGCATCGAAGGGGAGGGAAGGGAAAAAAAGAAGTGGAGGGCGCTGGAATGGAGCGTGTGCAGGAGGGACGCTCAGAGGCCTTGGCGCTGCCGGATTAGCGGCGCTGCAGCGCTCCCAGGGCTCCGTTTCGCGCAGCTGGCACAGCCCTCGAGCGCTAAGAGGCGCCCCATCGGGAGCAACGAGGGCCTGTAGAATCCCGTATTCAGCGAGTCCAGGCGACGGGGGGGGCGTCAGCGGGAATACGGCCTGGGCCCTGATGGGGGATGGCGCCAGCGTTGGCAGGACTGGGGGGGTGATTGATTGATTGATTGATAGATTGAACGGAAACGGGCTGGGCTGGGGGGATGATTGATTGCGAAAGCGGTTAGAGAAGAAGAAAAGGGTTTTTGGCGAGTGAGATTTGAAAGGCTTAATGGAAACAAACATTGAGTATCCTGACGTGTTAGTGCGAGAGTTGGAGGAAACAAAGTGAAGTTGACACCCGGGCTACCGAAACAAGCGGATCAAGGATTTGGACCCTGATTAATGCATCAACTTGATGGGAAGAGAAACAAGTACAAGTACAGGGACATCCGACACAAAGTCACAGCATGGTTTCATTGCTCTGTAAGTACTACTAAAGTAACCGCTACGAAACGGGAGCACGGACGGCGCATTGAATGTCCAGTGGCATCATTGAATCAATGTCTGCATCGTCGAGGCCTAACAGTTTTGGGGAGCTGCTTGCGGGTGCAACGGGTCAAGTCAACGTCAGTGGCCGGGTACGTATTCCATTAGCTGGTTGTGGAGGGCGGGTAAATGCAAGCAGGTCGCGGCTACGGGGTCGTTTGTAGCGGTACCAAGCTGGACCCCGTTTATGGTGCCCAGGCAGTTGAACGGCTTCAAATCATGGATGATTTCGGTACCAGACAGCACGAACAAAGTAAAGCACACAGATTGACAATTCGCCAATCTCGCAATAAGTCTGCAGGTGTTGACGGCTAATAGCGATAAGGTGCCAGCACTAACATTAACATTACCTCGAGCCTAACATATACCAGATCCACGGATTGTTTCGTCACTTTGCCCCTAATCCCCAATTCCCCCCCGTACGTCATCTCTGCGCCAGCGTGTACCTGTACTCCGTGCCGCGTACCGAGTACATGCAGCCCGTCAAGGTCGAGGCACCGCCCCCCAGGATTTAGAGCCGGGAGTACCAGCATGTTACCAGCATGTTACCAGCATGTTACATGCAGCTCATACGAGACAGCAGATGGAACCCCCAAAGACAGAAGAAAGGTCGCGTCTCATATTGCCCTTTTCCCATCTCAACACAACCTCGACATCTTAAACAGAACAGAACTGTGCGATTATAAACATCGTCGTCATCATCATCACAACTCCCGGCTGACCAATTGCATCCCGCGCTGCGCACTGCCCGCACGATGCCACCAGTAATTCCGCACCTACTCCGTACTAACTTGTACGAGTACAGCCAGTCCGTCCGTCTCTCTCTCTCACCCCTGCACCCATCTTGATCTCCGAAACAGGGGCTCAGCAATGATTGGATCCGTCATCTAAATTCTCTTTCTCTTTCTCTTTCTAGCCTCGTGCTCGTGTTCGTGCCGCCGCTGCCCTGTTCAGCTACTCGTACTAGCTGGGGAAACAAAACCGATCACCAGACGTCTCTTCCAAATTGCTTCTACTGCGACGCTACTTCTGAGCTCGTCTCGTGGCCGTCCATCGCGTCCATCTTGCTCTTGCACAGACTCGGTCGCTGCCCTTCATGGCACCTGTCAAAACTGCGGGGAAGCAGAGGCCATCACCGCTATGGGCCGATCCAAGTCCCATCTCGGGCCAATGTTCGGCCTTGTGCAGATCAACCACGCCTGGCTGACAGGCTCTGGACGGACAATCACTCATGATACTGCCTATTCCGTAATCACCACAGGCGCGCTATGCATACACGAGGCTCGGCAAGCAAGAGGGCGCGTACTCGTACTGTGCTCAACACCAGTCTGTACATGGCTGCTGCTACCTACTGCTCCGAGATGAGGACAAAGGCGGTGTTTTCATCTCCTATACTCGTGTTCTAACAATGCTCCGCCTCAGTCTCTCTCTATGGAGCCTGCTTCAAGGAACTCAACTCAACGAGACACAAGGAGGAAGATTCCCTTTGGACAGCCTCACGTTTTTCAGCCCCCTGCGTGCACGTACTCGCCATCCCCCTTGCGATCCATATAGATACTGCCCCCAAAGCCTTGAGGGAGAACTGCACCACCAAAATTTATATCATGGCTATTTTCCAGAGCCCTGAGTGGCCACTGTTGACCTATCGTCGTCATCCCTCGCCCTATTATTTTGTCGTTCATCCTGGCTGCTCTTGACAATGCCGACGACTACCCCGGGAGCAAGCCAGGGGTCGCACTCCGCCGTGAATCTCTGGATTCCATATGGCACCTGAGAGGTAGCTATGCTCGATTCCGTTAGCACACTCTCTCGCTCTCGACCATCCGGAGATTGCCATGACTTGCCTGTCTTGGACAAAGACCCACCAGGCCTGTTCATGGCCTGTGGCTCTGTCTTTGCAGAAGTTGTCTTGTCTTGGGGCATATTGTATACTGATCGAGCTGGACCAGTATAATGATGTTGGCTGTCTTTCAGTTGCAGTCGATGCTCAGCGGGTGTTGTTTAGCAAACCACTGGATCCAAATAGGCTGAGAACACGGCAGCTCCGCATTGGGATATCAACTCACTTTATACTCATCGATTCCTCTTCTTGCTTCAGGAACCAGTCAACGGCCCGTCTTCCACAGAAGCTTCTTGCTGGCCAATCCTAACATGTCACATACCGCTCAGCCTACCGCACGGTCCATTGTGTACATGTGTGCAAAATGCGCACAATCCTATCGGTCGTTTATTGGCAGCAAGTTGTCATCTCTACGAGGCTGGTGTGCATTTCGGTCCGTATCATATAGCCCTACAGACGCACAGCATGGATGACTGCGCCTACGCTGCTTTTCCGGGATCATGCGGGATCGGGACATCACCTTGTCTCAGGCGTGCATAGTATCGGCCAGATAAAACACCCAGGTAAAGCCGTTTGTGTGAGGGAGCCGGTACAAATGGCACTTGGCGTCTGCCTTGACGTGAAAGTCACTGGAAACTTGCCCGGTGTCTCGCGGCTTGGTTCCGGCCAAAAAAAATTATCTCAGGGGCTCTATTCTTGTGAGGAACCTTGAAGCCACCGCTACACCGGCCTTGACTCGACGTGTCCTCAGACAGGGTCTTCCTTCTTGCAAACGTGCTATTCTCGGCGTCAAGCATCCTATGCTGCTACGTGGGTGGAGCGACGAGAGGAAGAAGAACTCTTAGGATGTCTTATATGTTACCTTTGTGCCAGGTACCTCTCAGTGACGTGTTTGGGCACCTCAAGCATAATCTTGAGACATGCTGCAACGGGCGGCTGCAGCGTTCGACAGAAGCCACGACTCTATATGAGAGACGCTGTCAGCTCATGACTTGTCCAACTCCCTTTTACACCGCTCCTTGCCATCCTTCTAGATGAGAAGGGCTTCAACTTGTCTCTCCACTGGGTCTAACTTTCCAATTGTCAAGCGATGACCCCTGCATTGCAATCTCCATCCACTATTTGAAACGAAGTGGCTCATTCCGACCGGTTTCTCGCTTGGAGTGATGTATGGGGAAGATGCTCAAATGCTATCTCGTCGGATGGAAATATTTTACAAGCTTCTTTTTCGTCTAGAAAACCCAATCTATCGGGAATATAAAATGCCAACCATCCAAGACACTGGACGGTTGATCTTGTTTCTGAGGACGAGAAAGATGGAAGACAGCAGTCGGCCGACGGAACCTTTAGCCGATCAATTCCTGCATTCCGATAGGGCCATTTGTGCATGCAGCATTCATCCTGCTGAGAAATGTCAGCGTCATATGGGGTACAGCATTTGACAAAGATCTTTTTTCTCGCAAACGTTCCTCTAGAAACTCACTCGCAGAATCTCTAGACTCTAGGCGGTCGTACTGCACTAACGCAGGGGCACTCGACACTACGCCACACTCCCCAGGTCAGGCCATCACTTCGAATCTTGCTTCCAAATTGTGGCTATCCGATAATATCGTGCTTATATCGGATATGTTCGTAACCCCGGCAGTAAGACCCGGCCGTTCGAGAATCCAGAAACGGATACACTGCTCTCATATTGCCATTAGTATCTTTTGTACATTGATGTATATGAGCATTTACTCTGCCTCCGCAAGTACACTTATCTACATATCGACCCAACTTGAAACTTTGCCCATTTTGATCAGACCCAAGGCTTTATAGCAAGCACTCCCTTCGTCCAAAGTATTCCCCCAGAGAGGCAGCCCGAACCGAAAAAGAACCTTCATATAACAGGGATGACGTGGCCATTGTTGAAAACTACTATGAGCAGTTGAAACATTCAGTAAGCTTGAGTTGGTTCTTTATCTAGTGAAACAACGCAGGGCTAGCGGAAGTTACCCCCGGGTCTTACACAGTCTCAAAACTTCAAATGCGCGATCAAGGTTGTAAATGTGAACTGGAAGATCGAGCCCTATGCGGTGAGTTTATGAAACAAAGCGTTACACTCAATGGTACTTTTTGCCAATATTCTTCTTCTTTCGCGTATTACAAATTATATAAAAATGCCCATTTCTTCGTAAATCGGCCCAATGGCGCGCTGAAGAAGCTTATTTACGATTCTTTATATCGTGGGCAGGGGTCTGAAGATTTGCGAAACTCGTTGGAGTCCTCTCAAGCGATCACCATATGCCGTGGCACCTCAGTCACATGCTTCTGACGGTTGCGCTTGACCAATTGACATGAGAGTTTGGCGGCTGAATAAATGAACATGGCACCGATTTCGTTCACCGATGTAGGACTTTGGGGGTGACGACAGCTTTGCGCTTTGTTTAGGCATGAGGGTTGTGGTTATGCCTCGGCGATACCAGGGGAGTGTAGAGATGGAATTCGGAATGTGCCACCAGATGGATTTCGTGTTGCGGTGTAAATTTTTTCTCTCTGACACCCTTGGGTTTTTATGGACTTGATGGGTATGCTTGCTTTGCTCTTTAGGCTTCTGATGATGGGCTGGTTGGGTTTTGTCGAAGCAACGTTACGAAGAGAGTGTTGGAGTTGGGTATGAGACGTTGTGAGCAAGCAACGTGGGAAGCGGTTGTGGTACGCGGGCTGTTTTGCTGGAAATGTCGGGTCGCATGCTGTCAATGGAGATGATTTCTGTTAGTGTTTGACAAGAGTAAAGTTATAGGACTTTGGGATCGAGATTCACACAATATCGGGCTCCAAGCAGTATTCTTTAATAAGTGTAGTTGGACACCTCGTGAATACTTGTATTGCGTTGGCTACGGGCTACTATGACTTTGAAGAGACATTGAGCTACAAC